AAGCTGCCTTTTATCCAATAAAAATCGTAGATAAAATATTACTTTAACCAAAACGGTTGATAAAATAATATTGTAATGGTAAGTATAAATGGACAATCTTTATCTAAAAGGAACCAAGCGCCAAAAACTATTTTTGGACTTAACAACATTTTTTGTAAAATAACTCATTTTTAATAATGCTCAAAAAGTTTCTCATTATTTAGAACTTCTTTTAAATTATTGAGAGGACTTTCAAATTATAATTAAGTTTTTGAGCAGCATTAAAAATGAGTTAGGTATATACAAATAAGTTTGTTAAGCTCCGAACAAGTTTTTGGTTCCTTTTAGATAAGCACTATCCAAATAAAGAACCCAATTTCTTATTTTTGTTTGGTCGTTTGGTCGTTGTTTGCCATGTATAAATAAATTGACCATTTGTGAATGTTAATTGACAAATTGCCATGAGAAGCTATCTGTCAAAAAGCAGTTTTTGCAATTCAATGTTACATTAAAATGACATTTAATAAAAATAATTTTTAATTTATTTTATACCGCTATTGGAAAGTTTTTAAATAAATTAAAAATTATTTTTATTTAAATTATTTAAATGTAACATTGAATAATAATAATAATAATATATACAAATCCCCTTGTTTCCCCAATTAAAACTATAGTAAAATATCTGGACAACTTGTAAAACCGCCCCAAAGAAAAATGCACTCCAAATAATATTTCAAAAATAAATATTTCTTTAAAATTAAGTGTATTACGAAAGTATTTAACAAAACATTGCCTTTTAATCCACGCCATGTAGTGAACAAAACATAATTTTGGGAATATAACATTTGTTTTGAAAATCAGTAGATACAAATTTAAGAATCCCGCATTATTTTCCCCGCCTTCCTATCAAAAAGTCATCGAGCGTATAGTCCCCATTGTTGCCAGATGTACGGGCTTCGTATACTGCGTAATACTTATACAAAGCTGTATATAATCTCGTTTGACTCGTGTTCCCCCTACCGCCAAAGCATTGGAACTAAGGGTGTATATTTTGATAGGTTTGAATGGCATTAGGAAGCCCACCACTTTTTCGCCATTGAAACAAGGGGGCATCACTTAACTCTAAAACAAATTTATACACGCTAATTTTAGGAAGCCCGATTTCGGGCTTCGTAAAAACCGAGTGGGCTTCGTTTATACTGTAGAATGTAACGTTTCGGGCTTGGTAATGTAGGATTGCATATCTATATATATATATATATATATATATATATATATATATATATATATATATCCGGATTATAGGCCTCTAGCTTACGGATAAATAATTATAATTAATTATTATTAAAATATTTCATATTAATTTAATTGCAATCTTCCTGTAATGTGGCAGGAACCTTACATTAACAAAAATAAAATTAAGTAACATTGCAATTAATACATTTAAGCAACATTTAATTTGTAAATGTAATGTTCCTGCAACATTGCCACAAGGATTTTTGTAACATTACACCTAACAAATGTAATGTTGCAGGAACCTTACGTAAGGTTGTACAACATTAAGCAACATTTTATTTGTAAATGTAATGTTCCTGAGCCGGACATAAGGCTTTGTTGCAATGTTCCTGCAACATTGCCACAAGAATTTTTGTAACATTACACCTAACAAATGTAACGTTCAGTAACATTCTAGAAATATTATTTTTCCCCGTGGGTTGCTATCGGTCTCAATAGACCTATCACGGTTCGCCAGAAGGAAGTTTAATTGAAAATGTGTTGTCGCCTCAAAATTCATTTTAATTATGATTCCTAGATAAATTAGACATATTTTGACGTACTTTTTAAAATCAGTTTACGTGGCCGATATTTAAAAAATTATGTTTGAATGAAAAAAAAATTTCATTGTGCATCAGCATTTATTGAATTCAAAAATATAATAAAAAATAAGAAAATAACTGTCTATTTTCTAAAAAACATTTGAAATAATGTTATTAAACACATTTAACAATTTTGCTTAAATAATTTTAAAAGTAATACATGAACAGAACCAAAAAATATATTTTTAACCTATATAAATATACAAGACATGTTTATTAATTTAAACACGTAAACAAAATTGTATTTAAGGGTATCAGCAAGTATTTCATTCATAAATATAATAACAACCGACAGTATAATAATTCATAACAACAATAAATAATATATTGTATAGGTACACAAAATGTAGAAAAATTTGACAAGATATAATCACCTATCCTTGTCCCACCGGCCGGCCGCGGCCTTAATATCGCTTTTCCACCACTTGAATATGTTTATGACATTTTACCAATAAAAATGTCTTAAAAAGTCTTCACATTCACAAAATTTTAAACGATACAATGTCGCAATACACGAATCAAAAACTTTGAATATTTTTAATATGTCAAAAAGTTGACATTTCACCAAAACAAATGACTATTTTAAACTTATTATAATGACATTCAAATATTCAGTCACCATAGATATTGAAAAATAACATTTTTTTATTACATAGTACTAGGTATTAATAATATATTATCTTGTTTAAAAATTATTTAGATTTTGTAAGTACATTTACTTGTATACAATTTGCGGAATTTTAAACCATACTATTGTATTGTATTGTAAGATATTTCTGGTAGGAAATTTAGTATCCTACCTTATGTTAATAAGTTAATTATAACGTTGCATGATCATGCAGTCATAAGGTAAATCAGCCAGAACTCACAACAAAATCGTCGTAGTATGTGTTTCATGTGCACAATGAAACCGAAAAAAAAGTATTATAAAACTACAGGTAAAATAGGAACTGAAATCAATTTGATTTGATTTTAATATAATGGATTTTCGATTACCTGCTGTAGTTTATACAAGTTTTGAAAAGTTCACTTCAAATGCCGGACTACTCAATTGAGTTAAAGTGCCATTTAAAAATGAAAACCCGTTCATCAAAGATAGAAAAAGAATGTGAGTGTATTTTATGTAATAAAATTAGATCTAAAGTCTATTCAAATCCAAGCTGGACTAAACAAAAACGCCCAGACGCGTGGTAACTCGTTTCTATTGGTCGATTCTAATTGTGTGACTCGGATTGTGAGCTCTTATTGGTCGATTCGGAGGATTGTGTTTACATTTAGTCCAGCTTGGATTTGAATAGACTTTAGACAAGATAATTTTGATGCAGTCAACAGCGAAAAAAGAAAATCTCTCAAACCGCTGAAGACAAGTAGACGATGCATTTTTAGTGTTTTACTTGAATAGGTAAAGGGGTAAGTCATAAGTGTAACTCAACTACATTCCTAAAAAATGTTCGAGAAAGTATCAAAACCCAAAAGCAAAGTGAACATTTGATTTCTGGATTATTAGCAAAAAAAAATTGAAAATAAATCCTTCCAGAATTGCATATTTTATTAGGCTGTGTTAACACTCTTTATGGTAGCATGGATAAACTGTATCCCGATATTGGTACAAAATGGGCGCAGCAAAGTAACATTGAAAGAAGTTACACCAATGGTGGTAAATTTTCGTTTGCAGGAAATGCATGTAAACATTACTCAACAATGTTGATAAACTTCAGCGGATTTGCGAAGTTAACATATGTTAATTGGATATTGGAGGTCTAGCGGGTTCCATGGAGTACGTAGATGCTTTCAGAATGTTTAAAACAGTCGTTGACGACTTTTTTTCACTGAAGTTACGGCTAGATTTTGAACAAGATATTGGAGAATTTAAAAAAGTTACGAACTTTAAGGAATCTCAGTAACACCAAAAGTGCACACAATTTTTTAACAAGTAGCACAATTTTGTTCAAAACATCAGATGGTCCTGGGATTTTTTGGAGAGAAAGCTACAGAATCTGTGCATCATGATTTTAACGAAAAGTGGAAAAATTATTAGGTATCGAAATATAACAAAAATTATACGGCGAAACTTCTTCGAGCTTTACGTAGCTACAATAGTACACATGTACACAAATTTCTTTGTACTATTTATGTATTAACATTAATTTGAATGTTATTTAAAAGGGATACAGTTGTTTTGTTATTTGTTCTTATATTTTAGTATTGAATAAATGCTGATGCCTAATGAAATTCTATTTTTTCATTCAAACTCAATTTTCTAAAAATCGGCCACGTAAATTGATTTCAAAAACTATATTTAAATATGTCTAATATATCTAGGAATCATAATTAAAATGAATTTTGAGGCGACAACACATTTTCAATTAAACTTCCTTCTGGCGAACCGTGCTATCCCATAAAACGGAATTTTGGATAGCGCGTGCGTGAAAAGGCACGTCGTCTTTTTTTAATTACATAAAAGAGAAAGAGATACCACTCTTCTTCAGGCACGCGCTATCCAAAAGTCTGTTTTATGGGATAGGTCTATAGGGAAAATGTAAAAGTTATGGTGTGCCTATAGGTAATTTCCTATAAATTTTCTATCGGGCCGTATCCGAAAAAAAACATGGACAAATGCACATATTGAATCCGGTAACGCCCGATAGATTATTTTATATAGGTCTCTATGGGGTATTTTAAGCAGGGTACAGACATCCAACAGACGTCCTAAGGATAGCCACCAAACAATTGTTGTATTGTATTGTATTTTGTATAGGTCTCTATGGGGTATTTTAAGCAGGGATTTGTGCCTTTTGGAGACAACATTTGTTTTACTTTTTTTAACAATTCCCCCTCGGGTCAGATGTCTAGTTACGCCAATGTGAATTTGGTTTGTAAGTACGAGTAATAAGTATTTCAAATAAAAATACTAAGTACTCGTACTTTTTTACTCGTAATTAAAATTATCCGAGTCCTCAGTACTTGGCCAGCTCTACCTGAAACTCATCCCAACATAGGTTATTGTACTTTAGTAAGTTTTCGAACTTACAATGATCCAATACCGCCTGTATTATACAGGATACATACACCAATATATCCAATATATGTAAACTTGGCAACGTTGGTGTAGATGCGCACCGCGAAAGAAATGCCTTTGCGCACCGAATGGTGAAATGTCAGATTTTACTTCATTGGTACGATAGTTGTAGTAGTTGTGTTATTATTAGTTTGTTTTGTGTCATAATATGGATGTCAATAAAGGAAATACGTAGTATTTAATAAAACAGGTAAATTTAGCACATACATAAATTCTTTAGTGTTATAGTGTTATTTATGATTTATAGTTTTTAATTGACCTTGCCCTTGCTGTTATTTCGCTTTACCGAATTGTGAACTTTATTTACGAAATGAAAATTGAGCTTAAGTTATTATTTTAGTTTTATACATGTAATAATTTTAAGCGAATCAATAAATGTTAATAATTTTGAGCGAATCAATTGTACAATAACATTAAATTTTATTTAAGACCTTGATGGATAACTATTTATAAATTACTGTATGTGTAATATTTTACTTATTGTTTAGGTACAATTTTCATTCAGGAAATACCCAGGTGCATATATTCAGTTTTTGAAATATTAAACATAAGAATGGTTCCCTTCTGCAAGTGGAATCTCCTCTTTTGACACACAATATTTTATTCTACTACCACAAGAAATTTAAAGTCAATTTATTTGATATTTTATCTAAAATCTGACAGCTGTCAAGCAACTTTAACCTGACTTTTTTCCAGTTTTAACTTAAAGCTAACTTCAGCCTGTGGATGAAATGCTATTGTGCATCTGGTGGGAGAAAGAGGAGATTCTTCGAGCGTGGAGTTTTAGAAGAAATTTAGAGAAAATTTTATTTGATATTTTATCTGAATTCTGACAGATGACAAACTCTTTTTCCAATTTTAACTTAAAGCTAACTTGCCCACTCGCAGCAGGGCCACAAAAGTACATATTTCTTTCAGGTGTTGAATAATAGTTATTTATTATATTATGTTGCACACAAATTGTGTGACACTCAGGGCTGGGATATATTTATATAAATATCCAAATATCTGATATAGGTATATAGATATTAGGGTGGTTCTTATTAGACCGATGTCGCAATTTTAATCGTGCCGCCCCCTCATTTCTTTTAAAAAATATTTTAAAAAATTGTATGCCAAATTTGAATTTCCAAACTTATTGCCTGTAACAACGAGAAGTTTTCCACATAGAGGATTTTTGCCTTTAATGTATTAATTTTTTAAAATTACTATTAATTTATGAAAAAGTATAATTTTTTGAGAAAATGTAGACGACATAAGTTACTTTTAAACAAAAAAAAGAAATCATGTATTTTCATCCTAAATTCTTTTTTACTTCGCTTGATTATTACTTACAGTTTTTCATATAGTGAAGTTTTTGCTTTAAAACGCAATAATTTTATAAAATCATTAATAATAAATGAACTATTCTAATTTTTTGAGGAGATGAAGGGAAAATATGGTACTTTTAAACAAAAATAGAAAGAATTCATCTATGTCCATCATAAGGTGTTTTTTACTTCGCTCAATTATTACTATTATTGTTATTTTGTTAAAAACGGCGTAAAAAAACAAAATATCAGTGATAATTTGTATTTAATGCATAATTACTTAGTGTGTTTTGAAACGTGATTTTTTTTTTAAAAATTTAAAAACAAATGAGTGGGCGGCACTATTAAAATTTCGACATCGTTCAAATAAGAACCACCCTAATAGATATAATATTATATCCGATATAACTATATCAAAATTTGGATATATATTTCTTTTTATTTTCTGCTTAGAGAATTAATTAAGATATATGTTTAAAATTCAAAATTACTTAATTTAATATAATTTTAAAATTTTATAAACATGTAAATTTGTATTTCAATTCTATTCTACCTATTAAAGTTGCTATCACAATAACAAGTTTTCTTAGTACTAGTATGTATAGAAATGTAAAATGTAGATAAAAATACAAGTTTATAAATATAAACACATCATATATTTTTGCTTTTGCAACTAAAAACAAAAAATTAAAAAACTATAACAGCCAATAGAAAACAACAACTAAAATAATATTTTTAATAAAAAACAAAAAACAATAAAAGTCCTGAGTAAAAAAGGCTGGTTAGAAACAAGTAAGTTTAGGATGAAATCAGTCCACATCCGAATCTGAAAATATTGCGAGGATGGAGAAATAATAGGAAATTAAATGCATTTTAAAAATATATATTTATTTATTTTTCTGGATGTGCTCCTCTTCGGCCTTCTGAAAAAAAAACATGGTACACCCAAATGTCTGCATTGTGATTGGCTGGAGTGGCAGTAGCAGTAAGAAAAGATGAAAGATGTTTATCTCTTAAGTCAAAGACCTTGGTTGCTACTTTCCTTACTGAGGTCCAATCCTATTGGTTGGCAGCATCGTATTTTTCTTACTGCTACTGCTACAGTAGGAGTAACTGCTACTTTTTAGAACTATAAATACAGCTTAACTCACATTGAGCTCAAAGTTTGAAGACCAACGTGTAGCGAAGGCCTACAATTAAGCTTAAGCTAATTAGCACAAAAAGATTTGTTGGCCGAATGGCAAACAACATTTTATCTTCAAGGCACAATTTTATTTGTTAAACGATAGGTACATAAAACGTACAATTTTAGTAATAATTATTAAAAGTGAGGTTAGGACCTAAGGGTCCGTTAGGTAGATCTAGATCTGACAGTAGGCGAACTTTTTAACTCTCTAAGGCAGGGGATCCAAACTTATTCAGTTCCCGCGCCCTTACAGAAATGATTTAGCGCAATTATTGTTATCGACAAAAAGCCCGAAAATACAAAAACTTGTAATGTAATTTTATTTTTCTAATTAGAAAGAGTAAAGAGTAAATTTCCGTTCTCCATCTGAAATTCACAGTGGTTGTAAATTGGCTCATCATGTCATTTAGGTCCAACCATTTTAGTTTACTGGCCATCTTTTTTTCCCATATTGAAACATAATGGGCTTATTGCTCATTGTCCCAAGTTTTTATTATGCCATAATGTGATTATAAGCATGACAAAATTTGGAATTATGTGCCAAAGAAGCTTTACGCAACTTTATAAATTAAGATCCAAATACAAGGCCAAAGCCTCCTCGTTTAAAAATAGCTTTTCCATTTTTTATATATACATTTCCCATTTTTTTGTTTTAACCTCCTTCCGTGCCAAGTTTTTCTCTAAGATCTTGGGCTTTTCTTCGTTGTGATCTATCAGAACATTCGGAAAAAGGTTTTTCTGCGCTTCCAACAAATGAGTTCGTCGGTCGATTTCTGGTTCTTGACCTGTTTCAAAAAGTGAACGTTCTAAACAAATCGCGTGTTTTGATCGAAACTTTTGTTTACTGCTACTTCTGACAATTCTTTTGAATTTGAATTAAACATAATTTCAAAATATGTCGAAATATTTTTAACAGATTAAGAAGAATAAAACTAAGATAACTTTACATCATTATAAATACAAAAATAGGTACCTAAACAAAAACTGTATACATTGATTTGATTGGGTATGTTAAGGTAAGAAAACGTATGTTGTTATTGTAATTAATAATACTGTAATATTGTATATAAGTATTATATTTACAAATAAAAATAGGTCAAAAGGCAAATTCCAGGTAATAATAAAATAGGTATATAAAACAAACAGTAAATATCACTAACATAAGCAATAATACAGGGTGCGGCAAAAAGGTTGCCCCATTTTTAAAGGGTAATTGCTTGACTCGTGGGGGGATAGAGCAGTGCGCGTGGTCGCTTTAGACAGGTACGTGCATGCTATTTTTAGTCGTCATAATGATTCTGTCATAAATATTTGGGATGTCAATAAAAATCAAACAAAGAAAAAGCTTTCTATTGTTTAAAAATACATTCATTACGTGAGGGTTTTTTTTAAATAAAATGTCCGGGCAAAGTTGTCTCTTTACGGGGTGATATTGAGTGGCCTCCGCGTTCACCTGATTTGACCCCTTGCGATTTGAATTTGTTCTATTAAAGTCACGTGGTGGGACTTTGATGTGTGGAGCATAGTTAAATTAGGGATATACAAAGCTGAGTCGGAGGAAAGTGAAAAATTTTAATTATGTATTCTACTCATTGTTTTGCGGGTTTTTATTGTTTTTATTTCAATTTTATTTATAGAAAATTAAATTTTCTTTACAAATCTTCCCCACTTAACCTGTTACAAATTTTGGCGTAAAATACAAAAATACTATTTTTTATTAAAATTACGACTTCGGTGACTGTACCCTACTAACAGTGACGATATCTTTGTGTCGTCAATGTATTTTAATTTTTTAACTCCAAATTTATTGAGCAGCAAGTTTATTATGCACCAAATATTGAACTTAAATTTATATTGCAGCGAGTTTATTAAACATAATTATATATCACAATGCAAATATTTAATTCAATTCTAAGAAGTTTGCTCGAAAACATCTTTTTAATTCTGACGACTCGTCATGACGGTATTGCTGTGGACATGGTTTGCCTTAAGTTAATTAGGATTTACAATATCTTCTAGTACAGGAAAATAATTGCTTGTTCTACAGGTTTTTAATAAAAAATAATTGATGGTCTGTGACGCAATAGGTAATTATTTTTCAATACTTATTTAACTTAATCAAGCGGATAAATGTACTCGTTTAAAATCGAATTTTCCAATTAACTTCACCCGTTCAACGTTTAATTAAAAGTTTCGTACACAATTCAATCGAATATTGTTAAAATTGAAAACTTAAGTGCACTTCTTATTCTATTAAATAGTAAATTTTATAGTATGTTTATTTATTATGCACAATAATTATTATTAATGGTTTTATGAACTAAAATAATACAATATTAAATTAGCAATGAGCTTGTTTATCGCAAACATGACCGACCTTTAAATTATCGGATAAAAGAAAACTACAAAAATAAACAAATAAAATATATAGTGGTCCATTTTATATAAACTCAAGCAGTGAGAAGGCGCTAAATGTCTCCATTAAAAATAATAACACATTTAAGATTTTAGCCTTTAAGAACATTAGTATATTAGTATATTATACTCTACTATTATACTATTATTGAGGTAACACTTTTTTCCATATTTAACTTAAAGCTAACTTCAGCCCGTGGATGAAGTAAAGTTTTCCACCGCGACACCCTAATTTAACAAGGTTGCTGGTGAAAAAACTGAAAAACGTGAGTTTATGTTTTTACAAAGGTTATGTATGACCCAATCTTTACAAACGACTTAAAAATAACTCTATAAACTATGTAAAAATAACTCTATATACTATGTAAAGTTACTTTTTCGTTCGTATGTGACCCACGCGGTCACATATAATCCTTTAAAAACATAAACTCATTTCTTTTGTTTTTTCTTTAATACGACTGGTTAAACTTAAGTTATGAAATAAAATGGAAGTTGAATAAACATTTTATTTTATTTAGTTATTTTTATTTATTTATTTATTTCCAAGACAAATTTATAAAAAAAGTCTTTTATATCGACCAGTTTTCCGTAAGGATGGATATTTTTTCAGAAGCCTAATAAATATTGCGGATCGCCCTGTCTAAAAACAATAATATTGTATTATTGCGTGCAACCCAACTATTATCTTACTACAACTATATTTATCTTTGAATTCATTAAAAAAATAAAATACTGTCCTTTTATTTTAGGTGGTAATTGATGCGGATTAAAATGAACCAGGAACCCTTAGGGGTGGCACCCGACATTGTACTGCCGCAAAATTTGGAGCGATGGAGCGAAAAGAGCTCCATGCACAACCTGACCGACTACAGCGCCATCGGGGCGTCAAAACATGACACTTCCCCTTTTCCATTCGATCCAGAAATAAATCAAAAAATTGTCCTATGGTAAGTAGCTTTAGCACTACAATATACCATAACTGTATACCATGTATTTAAATTATCTTATTGAGTTGGTATTAGGTCAAATCTTAAGCTTTTGTTTATATAGACTAAGAAAATTATATTCAGAATCTTTAACTCCCACATATGCGAATAGATAGGAAAAGCTTTGCTTAGATGGAGCGCTGTATATAAGCACAAAGCCACCGCGCAAATACTGTAAATTTTATAAAATTTCTATTGAAACAATGATGTACTTTGCTCCACACCCAAAAGTCTCACCATAGCGTTAACAGATACACAACCTCAATTATTTGTATTAAAATGTCAAAGTTTGGGTGTGGGGCATTTAATAATATTAACTATTATGTTTTGTGGTGTTACTTATACTGTCTGTATTGGGTTGATAAAAATAAAACTCCAATATATTATAAAATAATTTTTAAAAGTTTGAAGCGAAAATTTTATCTTCAAGGCCCAATTTTATTTCTTAAACGATAGATAAAACGTAGAATTAATAAAAGTAGGTCGATTTTGTATTGGTCCAAAGTTTTAAATAATTCATTTTTACGGCCTAGGCCATAAATAACCTAACCCGATTTGTCTTGATCATCTTTAGGCTAGGCTATAATCAATCACTTTAGTAACAACCCTAGTAGAAATTTTACGTTGAAACAACGTTTTTCCCACGTTGGAAAAACCAAACTTTTATGTATAATTTTATGGTAAACATTCAATTTTCTTAGTTTCTTTAAGAAACTTTCTTGACCCATCACTGGTAATATTCATAAGTTGACTTAACAACTGAGCATATAGGCTCAGGGAGTAATTTGTTTTGATTGTGTTCCACTACACGAAGTTGCCCGACACTGATGAGACCCAATAAAGGTCGAAACAGCTGTCTGTCGGTATTTGAAGTTGGTGGAACGCATTCAAAACAAAAAACTTTGGCGAGGTGTAGGTTCAATTTTTTCGTATAATTTTATGTTGAAATGTCCCGGTTTATAACTTTATATGACAACGTTAGGTTTTAATGTTATAAAAAACTTGGGATTTGTGTATTATACAACGAGGGAAATATGTGGGTTTTATGTATTATAAAAATTTATCTATTTTTAACACAGTAGAGTGACTTAAGGCCTGAAAACCACAGCGGTCAATGGATGAAATTTAAAAAAAAGCTTCATTTCGATGTAAAAACAGAGTTAAAAAATATATTCAATTCTGGCATCACTTGCAAACAAATACAGGGGTCGTACTCGCTTCATATTTTATGCAAAACTTCATATTTTCACCCTGGTTCATAAAATGTTCATAAACAGTAACAATATGCATAATATGCATATTTACTCGTATATTATAAATTACAAACTATCCCTTTGTGATACCCCTGGGACCCACACATTTGAGAAAGTCATGTACTTTTTCCAGATACTCTTAACATTTGAGCGACACAATTTTTGCCCTATAATTTTTTTTATTTTTTTGACATTGCACGTAAATTTTTACTGTTTCTATTTACAATAAAAAACATGGATATATGTGAAAAAAATTCTCATACTTATTAAGTTCATTTACAGAATTGTCAGGTTTCACGGTTGGACCCTGTACTTTTACCTATTTTGATGTTTGGTAAAGTACATTTTTAGGTTTATGTTGAATAATAAAAGGATTTTATTTATTTTTGTTAACTATTAGAATTTTATTTATTTATGTTTACTAAAAGTACCAAATATTATATGTAGGCAATAAAGGGGCCGTCCATAAATGATGTCACACACTTAGGGGGGAGGGGTTACCAGGTTGTGATGTCAAAAAATTAAAAAGAAAAAAATAGATTTTTTTATATCAATAACATGCAAATATCTAAAACAAATTCGTGTGGTAGACCCATAATTTGTGACACTTTGGGATAAGGGGGGAGGAGCGATCAAAAATATCAAAAAAACGTGTAACATCATTTATGGACGGCCCCAAAAAGGATATATTTTTGTTAATTTTTATTGTCATATTTTAATAAAGACGTTCATAAAATGTTCATATTTTCATTAACCCAAATGCATATGTTCATATGTTTCTTGAGCTTTGTCTGTACGACCCCTGCAAATAGTATATACAACACGGCGGAGAAAGCATATTAACTGCCTCGCTTAGATTAGCTCGGCTTTATTAAGCGCTTTCTCTGCCTGTTAGATGATGTTAGAGACTCTATTAAATTCCAATTCGAATGTTCCCTATCATTTATTATTAAAAATGTAACATAACACCTGTATCCAATCATATCAACCATTTAATGTGACAATTGTAACAAAGATACAAATAGTTTTAAACTGTATAATTTTGGTATAAATATGTCACAATTATATTGGAATATTACCTTAATAGGCGTAGCCTATATATTGTATTATGTTTAAATCGAATAGCTGATCAATTGGAAGATATAAACTAATTTTAAACAGTCTGAATTTGGCTTTTCGATTGATTTCATATATGTATATATATAATCGCCGACAACTAATGTTATTAATAATAATAATAATTATAATTATTAATCAAAGAATGCGATTTTACGGTTCACCAAATTAATTGTTAATTAATCATGTTTCAGGACCGGTGATATTTCCTCTTTACAAGTAGATGCTATAGTCAATTCAACCAACGAATCCATGAGTGATAGTAACCCAGTTAGTGATCGGATATTTCAGAGGGCAGGCTCCGAACTAAAAGAAGAAATTAATTTAGATATTAGAGGTAACAATACTTTAGACGCTACTTGTCAAAAGACATTTACATCGTCCAGGTAAAAAATTAAAAAAACATATTTTGCTCTAAAATTCACAAAAAATATGCTTTTTAGCACAAACAACAACAGTCGCGTTTTTCAATTGCTTTGTATAATTAATTTATCTTAATTTTTGTTAAAAAAACTCCAGCTTGTAAAATATTTAAAGAGTTTGTTGTGCTTATTACAAAAATTAACTATATTGAAAATATATAATATTTATTACGTAAAATTAATATTATATACAGTTTGTCCCCACCAAAAACTCAATTGCGAATATTTTTAAAAGAAAGGGGGAACAATGATGCATGTATAAAAAATGTTGCCTAGAAATTCATTAATAAAATGTACCTATTTAATTATTTAAATTTGGAGATTGCCGTTTTTGTTTAGAATCTTTGGACATTGCCGATTTTGAAAATAAACTTGGTGAATATTGCTTGTTTTGAAACTGAAACAGAGTTGAATAATAAAAGTTGAGGGATAAAAATTGTTACGAAAGTTGAAACAGTTAAATAATAAACAATTAAACATAATACTTTTTAGACTAAATTTTCTTGAATTTCTGGGAGATATTCACAAATTTTGTCGGATCCAAACACTTCATTAGGATTTTCCAGATTTCTTTTTGTTGTACATCGACTTGAATTCTTTAATACTAAAGTTGACCTATTTCTGACTATTTTAAACGAAATTGTTTGGTTAAAATCTTTTTCACATTCCTTAAAATAAGGTGCAATTTTTTCCGGATTTTCATTTTTATCTGCTTTCCTTTGCTAAATCGATTTTTTAATGAAGTTCACCTCTTATTAGAATATTACCAGACCTCTAGAGCGTTTTAAAAATAATCTTTTGCATTCCTTAAACGGAAAACCCCATGCTCCTACTGGTTTAAGAATCTCTTGAACGGCAGTCTTACATTACCATACCTTTAGAGCGTTTTAAAAATAATCTTTTGCATTCCTTAACCATTCAGCTTTTAGATATGAATATCTTTTTTGATTAAAATCGAGGAGGTTTGGGTACCCAGGTACCCTTTAGTTTAGTTTAAGAATCTCTTGAACGGCAGTCTTACAATCGTAAACAGAGATTTGCTTCGTATTATTCAAATTACTGTTTCGTATTCTTCAGGCAGCATTTTTCGTAATTTCTTTTTAATCTGGCCAAAGACCCTATCTCACGATGAACTACAGAAAAGACAGGTTCAATAACATCAACGTTTGGTGGGGCATTGTGAGTTGTAGAGTTTTTATTTTTTCCACTGCATTCTTTAGCAACCAGTTGTATATGTTTTTATATTGCCAAAATCAGTGTTATTTAGTCGATGGAATACTGCAGAGGAAATGTCATTTGATCCTTTACCAAATATGAAAATACGTTTTCTCTAGTAAGTGACTATTTTGATGATCCCTGAACAATGTTATGAAAATAAAGCTGCCTTGAATAATATTCGCTTTGGTCGGGAACATCAGGAGGGCTCAATTTTTTCGGCAATCAAAAGAAAATGTGTTGAGGTCTTCTCTGATTTCACGAAGTGATTTGAAAAATGCTTTAGCTCGGAGCTTTTAAATTCGTTTTTGTACCATAAGTTTATTTTTAAACTCTATATTTTTGTCATATTTTATTCGTTTACAAAACATTTTAAGCTAACGTCGGTTTTTGAAGTTTTAAAACTTAAAATATATTTTCTGTTAAATACGTATCAAAAATAGAACTTATTTACAGTACTTCTATATAAAGCGCCTTTTGCCGCTTTGTTATTGAGTTTGAGTATAAGAGACGTATAACCGGCCCCATTGCCTCATCGCTCCCTGGTCCCGCATAGGCCTTTGTTTCCTTACGCCGATTTTCTTTCGCCACCAGCAACGGCACGGCTTCACCCGTGTTTGCTGGGTGCGAATATCCATAGCGACCCGTACTGTCTCCTATTTAGGGCTCGAGAGCGAAATGCCAATAGTTTTAATAGCCATTCCCAGGTTCGCCGGGCCGATGCTATACTCCCTGTAGGGTCATGAAGGAGGTAGGACGGGAGGGATAGACATTTTGGTGTTTGGGGGACAATTACGCCGACTCAAATCCAAGTACGACGGGTATCCCCCTAGACCATGCAGTTAGTATTACTCCAAACATATGGGATTTTTTTTTATGTTTATTACCGCAGTAGTGCGAAATTTATAACAATTGTTTGTTATTGTGTTGCCCTAGCACGTTAGTCATCTTCGCTAAGTTTGTATTCTGTCTGGTTTAGTTTAAAGTTTATTTTGTTGGGACCGTCTTAAATTAATGGGTTTTATTGCATTACGCGTTCGTTCATGACAGATTTATTGTCCTACTCAGCTTTCATGTAAATGACCGTAGGATGGGGCGGTTTTGTTTTTTTGGCATTTGTCTTTATTTTTTATGTTTGCTTACAATATTGTCTTACTAATGTTACTATTGTTACTGATGCATTTTGTTTACTTTATGTTTTTTTCTAGAGTTTAAGCAAAGTGCCTAACTTAAGTTTTAACGCAACTGTCGTGTCCAATTTTGCAAATTATGTGTTAGGTTTAAGGTTACTTATCCGATTTTGCAGATGGCCCTTTCCTCCCTTGGTTGTCCTCTTTTGTTTGTCTTGTAAAAAGCGTCCAATTGACAGGTGGCAAGACCGCCCTTTAGCTGACACTTATCACTTTACACTTTCTTGAGGGTAGGGTAGTCCACAATGGATTGTGGGGTAGTCTCTACTCACTATATTTTATTTGCATACAGTAATTATGTGTGGGTTTTAGGCTTTTATGTTTTTAAGAGGTCGCTATCCGAGACGTCTTGCTATGCCGATAGTTAGAACGTTACTGGCCTTTTGCCGCTTTGTTATTGGCGGCTTATTTTTTTTTTTTGATATGAATATAAAAATAAAAGGAGAGAAATTGTCATAATATTTTTAGTATTTGTTTGATAGTTGCAGTTGACGGTAGCAAAGTTTAACAGTAGTATACACAGTGCTTGGCCTTGTAACGAGCTTACTCTCTAAAAATGAATTAGTCAAAAATGACTAATTGTCATATCGAAAAAGCAGCCACTTAAATTTGTTGAAATAGTAGAAAAGTTTTTGAGATATAGTCCGGGATACAAATTGCTGTGGACTAGTTATTAGTGACTGCTTTTTTACTTTTAATTTTTAGAGAGTAGGTTAGTTAGAGTTAGAGTTATTAGTGACTGCTTTTTTACTTTTAATTTTTAGAGAGTACCTACTTCACTAAAAACCAGTTGTATTTTTTGTGATTTTGTTTGTTTGGTAATTTAATAAATATATTTAATGCTTAATTTCAGCAGTTTTTTTACATTTTCAATTACATATTGCCAGTTTGTCGCAAAAAATATATATTTTTTAAATTTTAGTGCCGAGAATTAAAATATTTATTGTATTATCATTGACTCAATGGTATTATATTTAAATATAAAAGGGGCGCACCAAAGAATGCTGCACGTAGGCGCCAGACACCCCAGGAACGGGCCTGGGTGAGAAGCATACATTTTATACAATTTTGAGATATTAAGTTTAGATGATAGATACATTATTTTGGTTTCTGAACGACAGTAATGAGATTTAATACATTTAAGTTGGTTAATACATTTTTGAATACCTACTTTCCAGTTTTTTACGATATTTGGAAGTTTTATAATCGTCACCCCTTCGTTCAATTGTTACTCTGCCCATGTTAGCAAAGGTTTTCATCAAAAAGTTAAGCATATGTTTTTATATACCCAAAACTTAAAAAAGTTGCTTGACAAACTGGGAACATCTTTCTAAATAAATTGCAAATGAAACATTTTACCTGGGTCATTTTTGGAGCGTGTTTATAATTTCTTGGCCTAGGGCGTACAGTACAGTGCGATTTACTTTACGATATTTCAAAATAAATGCATCTTGAGTTGTTAAGTTGCACTTGTATGCAGCTGGCTTGTGCCTAAATTTTAGAAACGTTGGCAAATATTTAGTAGAATATCTAAAAATAGGTTCATTATTGACAAGTGTCATTTTAACACGTGATTTATCCTGTTATAATATATCTATAACGTTATGACGAGTTAAAACATGGTTTTAGCCGATGGCGACACATCTCATGTGTGTATAGTAATTACAAAATTACTAAATATTAATGACAGGTATCTTCAAAACAATGTTATATATATTTTTATAACACGTAAGTTAATAATAATTATTTTCGTACATTTAGATTTAAACTCTGTAGGAATAAAATAGTCACTTACCTTAAACGTTTCGCGCCAAATCTGCTTGGGTGCACGTCATCAACGGCATATGACGTCAGCGTTAAGGTTTATTCATACGTGCCCATCACAATCTACCGCTTGTGAATTGTTGGTTGTTTATAGCGGTGGGGGCTGTTTATTAAGATGGAATTATAACATCATTTTAATAATCTTCTATACTAACTAATTAGGAGTTTGTTACAGGTAAATTTTAATTAAATGTGTTTAGAGAGGAAACAAACGGAGTTTATTACATTTTTATTACATATGTACTATGCTCCACACTTCAAAGTCCCACCACGTGACCAAGTACGGAACGCAGTCTTTTGATAAATTGTCATTTAAGGCTTTTCAGGTTATGTATCTGTCAAAGTATAGTCAATGCAAGAAATAATATTTATACTGTTACCATTTATGTTTAAGCGTTAAAAGTTAATAAATCTTTATAGTAGCACAGTAACAATGGTTGGTTTAAGAGTTTAGGAGTATAAATACTGCATTTAATGAAATTCTAAAGTGTATAGTGCCAAATAAGTAAAATTTTTGTGCATTAATGGTGCATTAATTGGTCTACATATATCTGGTTTTATCCATTAAATAGTTTTAACTAAACGGCATTTATTAAAAAAATTTAGCTTGTTTATTATGGAATAAGAATATCTGTATCAAAGGTAGGTTAATATATTATAACAAAAAATATCATCTAATTTTGAAA